GCAATGTGTTTTTGGGCCTGATACCAGATACCTGAACTAGAAAAAAGAACCCCCAAATAGTTATATTTTGAGACTATTTCAATTTCATTCCCGTTCCAAAACCACTTTTCAGATTTCTTTAGTCTACCCGATTTGCTAAAAACAACAATTTTTGATTTATTCAAATTTACTGTTAACCTCCATCTTTTACAGTAATTTGCTAATCTATTTAGAAGACGCTGTAGACCAATGGGAGATTTACTAAATAATGCGAGGTCATCAGCATATAATAAATACATTAATTTTAAAGTGTTTACATAGATTACAGTTTCAACACCTTGTGTAAGAGCTTTTTCTATATCATTTATATAAAAACAAAAAAGTAATGGGGAAATAACTGAGCCTTGTTGCTCTATATCATTATGAACCATAATGATATAATGATATTAAACATAGTCACCCTAAGCTATGACGTCAGAAATGTATGAATATCATGCATACTCAAGGGGAGTATATAATCAGTCGTCATTTGGCAAAACATCGTCAATAGGCTTCAATTGCACATTCCTTACCTATGTTATTTTATTTTCATTATCTATATAGTGTTATTTTTTTCCCATTTTAATAAAAATGTTTTTTGGCTTATGCCGACCAAAAATTGTGGATAAATGTTGAGTTTCATGTAACCTGATTTGCATATTTATATTCATATATACTACTACACAATAAGAAGTTGACTTCCGTCATACCCCCTTAAATCCTAACCATCTTACACATAAACAGACATAGTAATACACCTTGTGATTGTTCCGCTTCTTTATTTAACTTTAACCCTATTGATTTATTTTCCATCAACACTCTTCCACCAATGACGATCTTTCTATGATATATCCACGTGAACTTGAAATCAAAGGAACCGAATCATGTTCTTCTGCCATCTATGTGATGCCCTCTCTTTAAACTTGACTCTAAGAGTAACTTTCCTACTAGACTGTATGACAATCCGAAATATGGGGTCAATTTTATGACAGGGTAATGCTCGGTCATGCACCGAACACTCCTACACACACACACACACACACACACACACACACACACACACACACACACACACACACACACACTAGTTAGTTCTGGTGTTCTGATACAGGGAACCTTCAAATAGTTGATAAGTTGGAATGTGACTATTTAATGTTTAAATATATTATATTTTGGACCTGTGTTTTAAAAATAGGTATGTGTGCTGGTTTATAACTGGTTATTTCTCAGAAACAAAAAGAAAGACAAGATGATCGCTATGGGTGAGATCAGTGTCAAAAACATTTCCCTTAGCATTTGACCATTATGTTCACATGTTGTTGTTTTTTAATTATTTCATCATCATGTTCACATTCTTATTTTATTTTATCTAAATTTTTCCATTTTACATTATTTCATCATTGTGTTGACATTTTTATAATATTTTATCATTATGTTCACATTGTTTTTTTAATTTTGTTAGCATTTTTACATTATTTCATCATTATGTTCACATAATTTTTTAATTTTGTTAGTATTTTTTACATTATTTCATCATTGTGTTGACATTTTTATATTATTTTATCATTATGTTCACATTTTTTTTTAATTTTGTTTTTATTTTTTTTATTTCATCATTATGTTAGCAAAATGTGACCATAATGATGAAATAGTGTTAAAATGTCAACACAATGATGAAATAATGTAAAAATGAAAAATGAACGTGAAAAAAAATGTGAACATAATGGTAAAATGCTAAGCGAAATGTTTTGGTACTGATCTCACCTCATAGATCGCTTGCCTTCATGTCTTTTCATCCTATCCTGATAGTTGTGAGAAATAATATTCAGGAAATCAAGTTGCGTTAGCAACGAGCACGTCTGTATTGCATTTCTTAAGCTGTTGGATTTTAGTTTACTTTCTGGTTTGAAAATAAATCTTGAGAAAACAGAAGCTAGGTGGTATGGGATATGGCAAATAAGATAAACAAATGAAACAGATTCCGAATAAGATGTACAGATTAAGGTAGAGATGCAGGTTCGTGGGCACTTGGGAGTGAATTTGTTTTTTGCTTTTTATTATCCAAACAGTCTTGGCTATAGACTGTTAAAATTTTGTAGAATTGTGAATAGGGGAACATACTCAAAAGACGATTTTAAAATATAGATAACAGGTGCAAACATTCTCTATTTTGAATGCTTAGCAAGATTTAGCAAGGCTGTACTTAAATAATAAAAAAGAAACATGGGTAAAAAGGAAATGACAGGATCTCCATATTATGCACTTTATTTAACTTTTTACAAAATGATAATACATATAAATTTGGAACTGTTACAGCCATTTTAATTATGAGCATTAGCAAACTTCTTATTGAGTGAATTGTTATGCAAATTAGCAATTATCTCAGCTCCGAGACGCTTTGACCTTTTGTTTTGAAATTTTCACAAACGATTGACAATGTGTTTATCTTCAAAACGCCGTCGGGGCATTGTTTTCGGTTGAGCAGTGTTACAACAATCGTACAGACAACTAGCATGGGTGTTAATTTATGCATAAACTTGAAGTAGTGAAATTTGAACTGCTGCCCTGCAAAATTGACAACTGGTAGACAGTTTTCAAGACGGCACTTTCTTTCAGATGTACCCGTAAATCAATGTTGACAAGAAAGAGAAGCATGGCTTAGAAGCTATTTTTTTAAAATCACTTTTGACCAGAAAAGTACATCTTTATGCATATTTCAAACTCCAGTGTCCATAAAAAAATACTAACAAAATTGTTTAATTCATACAATAAGCTTTCCGAAAATATATAGTTTTGTGGACAGGGTAGTCATCTTGGTTTCCTAATTAACTAATTCAAATACCTGTCAGGTAAACTGCATCTCTACCTTAAATTTGTGGGTGTGTATGTGTCATACAATATTAAAACCTGCACACAGTTGAATTTTGCGAAACCTGTAAAACAAATCGGCTTCATCTGCATTATTAATCATGTACGTAGGGCATGTGCTGCAGTGTTATTGACTTCCTTACCCTACCGAGTCATTCACATACAAATAAAATACTATCGAGTTCAGCGAAAATTTGCAATGTATTTCCAATGCACATATATTCCATTCACCTTTCTAATGAGCGGAGTAATGACCGTTAACAGTGAAAGGCGACTATTGACTGATAACTGTTGTAAGCCAAAGAACAAAGTAGACTCAATGTATGCCTACATCTCTTTCTATAACTTACAATAACTACTGAATTCCGATCATCTATTCACGAGGAGACATCGAGGACGCTATATACCACGTGGTATGCGTCCAGACAGTCGAGGCCTGTTAGTCAATGACGTCACCTGCACACATCGCTTCAACCTGTCAACACTATCATGCATTTGGAGAATGGTTTTATAACCGTTGAAACGTTCACAAAGGACGGTAGATGAGACTATACCTGTGTAAGTTTTAACGGCTTCAATTCAAACGTCGTTTTTCTCATACAGAAACTGTCGCTAGTGAAAATAGGTAAGTTTATGTTTTGAACCTTCTATGAGAAAGTTCAATGCAAACCGTCATTGACTCGGGACTCATACTGATCTGGCGTAAGAACAGCGCACAAATTGTAATAACATTACTAATAGTTACTCTGGACTCTGGATCTGATAGGTATATTTTTCGAAGTACGCATGTTCGAGGAAACCAAAAAAGGGGCAATTTTTCTTTACAAAGAGACTTCGCTAAAATGCATAAAATGAAATATCTTGTTGTTTTGGAAGTTCCACCTGAACCAAACGTATCACATGCGTCCGAGCAGAACGAGAGAACAGCGCACCTTTCTGATTAAAATTTAGCGTACTCGGAAATAAATTCAAAGTTTCTCTTCACAAATAGGTGTTTTCCAAAGTCCGCATTTTATCAAAAAAGGTGGTGAATTTGTATTCAGTCAGTGGAAAGGGATTGTTTTCAGACAAGAGAAACCCGGGTTTCGCTACATAAAATGGCGATGATACATGATAAAACATGTTTAGAATGAGAAAATCTAACGACAAGAGAGTCTTGTGACCTTGCACGGACAGTTAAAAACACCGAACCCTGGATCACTCATTCAGAAACCTATAGAGGTATAGTTATATAGTCTTTGTAACAGACGGGATAGGCCAGTTTGTTTATTTGTTTATTTGTAGAGTGACTGTGCTCAGAGCAACAAAATCACTCTCTTCAATTGTATAAATGTATGTATAAATTTCACATTTCTAACTGAAACGAGTGGTTTTTATTGGCTGATTGGATATAATTTGACCATATTGAAACGACGTCATTGCGCACTGCGCTCGTTGATTGGCTGGTTGGATTCAACTGCCATTGAAATTTAAACTTTTCGAAATTTATTAGACGTTTGAGAAAGTATGTCTGGCTGTGGTTATCAATTGAGCTAAGTGAGATCAGAATTTGCTGATTACGAAATATCGTGCGATCGTCGCGACGCCTCGTGCATGAGATAAATCAAAATAGACTACTAGTATTTCGAAACCCTTGTCACTGCTTTTCAATTTCACGGTACTTGGTTTAGTGACTCGGCATTTTGTAGTAGCAAATTCATAATACTATGAAGGATGCACAAATAATAAACTGTAGTCAGAATCAATACAAATGAACATAAACCACATACAAACCGATTCGAAACGACTCGCCAGTGCAGGCGTTCAATATGCTTCCCACTATACAATAATAACTGTTCTGAAAAGGGAACACATTAAACCTACTCGCCCATTTTTATTTCAGAAATAATGGCAAATCCATGGACTGTATTTAAGCACGATGGATTCAGTTTTATTGGTGGGTTACATGACAGGAAGGCAGTAAAGGATAGACGCATAGATGCATGGGATATCCGAGAAGATGACGTCATCATCACAACGTTCCCCAAATCCGGGACCACTTGGATGTTACGACTTGTTTCTGAAATGTACCCCGATTTACATTGGCAGCTTAAGCCCACAAATCTAGCTGCCAGACCGTGTTATTTTTATGAGGATGCAGATTTACTCTCCGGGATTTACGCAGTTCACGTCAAAGCAGTGCAGACGACGTTGCACGAAATGCCTTCACCTCGATTGATGTACTGCCACGCACCAGTCGAATTCTTTCACTCGGCGTGGAGGGAGAACAGTACCAGATGTAAAGTCATCTACATTACTAGAAACCCGAAAGACGTGTGTGTTTCCATGTTTCATTATCTGAATTCTGACAGGAAGAATTGGACATGGGATGAATTTGTGACGCGCTTTGTCAATGGGGACGTTATTTTTGGTCCTTGGACGAATCACGTGATCGGTTGGAAACGTTTCGGAATTGAGGATGGCGTGCTGCATGTGAAATATGAAGACATGAAAACAGATCTTAAGTCAGTCATATTGAAAATATCTCAGTTTCTCTCTCGCCCAATTGACGAGGATCAACTTAATCGAGCTTTAAAACGAAGTTGTTTTCGATCAATGAAAGAGGCTGGAGACGATGTGAATTTAATGCCATGCAGAGACGAAAACTCTTGGTGGGCAGGTGGTCCGTCGTTCCGTAATGGCCGTGTTGGAGACTGGAAATCCCATTTCACTGTTTCACAGAATGAAATGTTTGATCAGAGAATATCAGAAATAATGAAGGAGAATTGTACCAAACTAACATATGAATAATAACTAGAAGTCCCCCAACAATGAATATTCATATCAACAGTAAATCAATTTCTTGTCTTAAAGACGATGAATTTTCAAAACAAAAAACAGTTGAGATTATTATTGCATTATTATTGCGGAAAATTAGGGTCATTGGGATATATATTAAAAGCTAATACTAGTCATAGTAACTTATACACTTATCTTGTAACATTGTATTGATAGCGTTGATTGGCTTTTTTAATCAAATCGTTTACCTGAATGGCTGCTTTATGTTGCTAAGGTCTCATAAGTATGCAATGCCCCTCGTATTGCCACCTGATTGGCTATTTCGTGTTTAGCCTCCATGTGCACTGTTTTGTGCCTCGTTGTCTTGTTTTGTGATGTTCATAATTTTGGCTGTACCAATTCACTCAACTATCAAATCATTTGAACAATTGTAACTCCGCTGAAGTTGGGACAACTGTTCTAATACCGCTTGCAACTTGATGGGGTACTGCACGAGACATGTTGCTCAAGAGTCGAACAAGAACGCGAATTATAACGCGATGTGGTTATGCTCACTATTACTGCAGAGATGCCGATAAAAACATCGTACTTCTTCAATCTGGATTCCATGTGCATTTAGCAACTTCAACCACAATATACAACTCTTTTCTCGGCTCTGATGAATGTAAATGGCCGAACAGACCTCATGAAATCTTCGAAAACTTGAAAACTGCTTACGAACTTGTATCACGGGTACAATTACACTCATCTCATGTTCTCAAACGAAAAACTGTACGTTTTTTATCGTTCGGTATTTAAGGAACCAAGCGAGCCTTTTTATTATCATCGTTTTTCTTCTTTCTCTACTTCTGCTGATCTCTGTAGATCTCTCTTTAATGATGACCTTCGATTACCTCACTGGTCACCGTGGTACATACTTGGACCACCATTTCCAAAGAAAACCTCCTCAGGCATGGAAAAGCGACTCCATGCATTGACCAATTATATCTTTGTAATGGCTAAATGGCAAAACATTCATCACGTCGCAACGCATTAACTGAAGATAGTATAACAGATTCAACTGTCATATTTAAGCAGAGAATAAGATACAGACTAAATGGAGAACATCTATATTATAGTTTGACAAACAACATGGATGGTTTCAACAGGAAATGGTGCCTGAAAGAAGCATTAGCCCATGTAGAGAATGGTGAATTGGTGTACTCCGAACTAATTTGCGACTGATTATGTGATCTTTTTAAAATATTTTGTTTATGCCTTATATCGCAAGTTATTGTTAATATCGTTATCTTTAATTAACGCGTTTTAAACATGCTAATGTAATTTAGATTTTTAAAGATATTAAATGCTGTTTTATTTTCGCCAGAAAACGAAATGCTGTAAATTTTTCTATAATAACAGGGAATGATACGATATGATACACCCGCCTTTCTTTCAAAATTGTGCTTGTTCACTCGGTTCGACGGCCATATAACAATTTAACATACACCATGTGGTCTCAGCGACGAGACTTTTAATTATAGCATCAGTGATATATATAGGGGTCTGAGCAACGTAATTGTTTTGTTATAGCATCACAAATATATGTCCTATCAATGTCACAAATAAACCATTTGCTATAATTAAAGTTATTCGAAAATGGCATTGAATACGTAAATACCTCTAATTCTCAAGAGAAACTAATTCTAGTATTGTTAAATTTGCCATGTAATGTGTGCATTGCAGTTTGGTTCGGCGGCAATGCCTGAATTAAAATTTATTTATCATTATTTATTTATTTTGTTTATTTATCATGTTTTAGGAGCTCACATCGATGTATTTCTTTGGAAAAGTGTGTGCAGTATACGTGAATTATAAACTACTGGTATTAGTGTATTTGCCCTGAATGGTTCAGTAATACGTGTAATGTTTATGATATAGCAGTGCATGTCCCGGGGTGCATGGTTAGTATAAAATGTTAAAGGAACCAGAAGACAGTGGTTTCATAGTGGTCGGAGGACATAAAATACTACAGTAACTACAATACAAGAATTCCAGCTTGACCTTCAGTATGCAAGACTATGAGTATGCTAGCTAACTCTTAGTTCAAATCTTGCATAATGCTATTTGTAACTTAACAGGTTGAAGTTGAACTGGTTTAGCATTCTGAATCTATTATTGGCATACGTGTTACCATCTCACGAATACAAACTTTACTACTGTCAGGTGACATTTTCCCGAAAAACAACAAACAAAATATACCTAAAATCTTCTGATAAACTGATGGATGCTTAGAGATGTGAAAGATACACACATATGATTTTCAACTATTTATTCAGTGTACAGCCATTATACTTGGTTGCTAACTCTAAAAGTACAATGCATCATGGGTAGAAAAGGCAAAGGTCACCTCTACAATATAGAATACTACAGACTTCTAAACAGAAGCGACCACAAATTGCAGCATTTGTCCCATGGATGTTTTAACCGACCCACTGTTGCATCTCTATAATGAACCCTTTTACACACAACAAAAATAATTCAGAAACGTCAGACGATTTTTCCGCCATCTTGGATTTTCCATGAAAATACCCGAAGTGTTGGTCATTTCTTTCTCATGTCTTCTAATTGATGGCCTGGAAAATGAGCAAATTTTCTGGCATTTGTTTATTATGGATGTTTTATTTCGTGTATCACAAATATTCTCACAAGCCGCCATCTTGAATTGAAAGAAATGGTCAAAATTGTCGACATTGTTTGTCATGAGTGGCCATAAGTGTTTTTCCCAATCAACTTGATATGTTGTATATAACACGCACGGTCAAAAGACAAATAACATTGTTTTGACCAGTCAGTTTAACCGCCTAGGAAGTTTGAAGCGAATTGCTCAAATTATGTACGAGATATACATGTATATTTGGAATAGAATTTATCAAAAACAAAATGGCCACCAGTCGGCCATCTATAAACGTATAAATCCCGTTTTTAACTTCGTCTGACCACGTTCAAGTCGCGTCTGATTGAACAATTTAATTACAGTTTATATACGTTGATATAATGTGTTTCATAGAATCATTGAGTGGTACGTGAAATGAGACATATTACCAAATAATATCCCAGTGCAAATCACCTTTAATGGTTATAAGCGAATCAACCACAAATGCAAATAATAAATAAATTAATGATCAGATTCGGGTATATATATATACCTAGTTAGATACTACTTGCCATACATGTATTAAATATCGATCAAATAAACAATAACATGTTAACTTTATTGTGTGCTAATCACCATCAACGGCATTTAATAATTGGTATATATTATATAGACATTATATAGCTGGAACCATCGGGAACAAAGTATAGAAATACAACCCGCACTAAAAAAGGTGTCAACTATTCTAGTTCCAATGCAGCACAGTATTCCAAAACACGCCTTTTACATACATTTGCCAGTCAGCTAGCTAAAAGTATTACTACACATATTATTGTTTAAATCAGGGTCGATGTCAGATCAGGCTAGCTTATTAAGTGGTGGACAGTTCACTCTTTTTTACTGCTGAATAAACTTTATTTCATCCTTTGTAACCTCCGTCTTGCAGCTGAAAATAATTAAAAGTAAACATAATCTGTTTAAAGAAACATTCGTATTTTGCACATGTTTGGTATAGTTATTGAGCACTTGGATGCTATAATAATTGAACAGATAATTTATATTTATTTACTGATTTTAGAGCAATATATAGAATTTACAAAATTATTATTTTCTTAGAGCGATTTATGGAATTTGCAAGATCATTGTAGCTATTGACTTGAAAAGTAAGTAACTGCATTATATGTAACTTTACGTAAAGACAATGCTCCTCTCAAAATGCATTTTTCACTACTGGGTCATGGTTGCGTCGATTGCAATTCAAACGGTTACAATAAAACCATATAATTAATTATAAACACGACGTACCTTCCAGGGATCATCCAACTGTCTCCAAACTTTTCAGCATCATCTATTCCCATCAATGTACCATCTTCCATCTGCAAGTCATTCTTAGGATCTCCGTCAGCATTTCCTAGCAATCCACATACAGTTCCATCCAATGACGAGTCGAGTTTTGAGGCTATGTTGCCGAAACCAGTCCAGGAAACAGTGAATTTGTTTTTAACGTCTACGTTCACGTGTCTGCTATCTCTGTTCCTGATTGTAATTGTCTCCCCATCAGTCCAAGGTAGTACTGTGATCGGCTTGCCATTAACCTGTACAATTTATGGGTGGTTGTTAAACGATTACAGAACTACATGTAACATATTTTGATTCGCTACTACTTTCCCATTGTCGCAGCTTTCAAATATTTTAAGTATTTTTCCCATAATCATCTAGTAATAAATATGATTCAACATACACCACAAAATTACCGATACAAGTATGCTTCTGGAACTCTTAAAATTTTAAAAAACTAATCGGTTACAAATCAATTATATAGCTTCAACAACAAAATACAATTAAAAACGTAAAAACACAAAATACCACAGAAAACCGTTAAACTTGTCACAATGATTATAACATATACTTACGTATATTTTAGCCCCTTGACCAAGTTGGATCAAGGTGTGTTTCACTTTAATTAGTACATCTGACACCTGGCTGTGGATTCTCTCTCTCCTATCTATAAATCCTGTATATTTTGTAGCTACCAAGAATGACGGGTATGGCTTACATTCTTTGAATAGTACATATGTGCAGTTCTGACCGGTATGAGTATAGTTCAAGCCGTCAAACGTTGTTAAATGAGGATCTCCCTCTGATGTCCCTTCTATTAAATATAATAAATTAATTAGAAAGGTATGATATGTTTAGTGGAGTGACCGACACTATATGCAGGTAATCATGTGACGAGTACCGAAGTATGTGGAGTAAAATTGACTTTCATCACAATGAAATATCAAAAAGATGTCTTAAAGCCTGTTTTTATTTGTAGTCGACTGTTGTTACAATTGCTATTTATTGTGTTTTTTCTTACCTGGATACTTAGTATGGTTTTTTGCTGTAAAAAACATTACATGATGCATTATATATATATATATCTTAAAATATCATCACGCTATCAAGCTGAGCACCAGTGACATCAGAGCCGTCATAAATAATAATTATATTTGATCTGTTTTGACAGACAATGCTGAACCATGTAACAATACGGACTACAAACAATGGTCTTTGCTTACATCTAATACAGACCAAATTTTGGACGAATGTGGTTAGTGATTCTGGAGAACACATATTGAGAGAATGGCATAAATCAAGACTCTCAGTAATGAATAACACTTACTTTTTACACAACAAACACAATTCAAAGAACACAGACTGAATTGTTTATTCGTGACATTATGTTCTCCATCTTCACACTCGGATTTACACATGCCACCAAATTTACATGCACATAAGTCACGATCTGCATGATTTAACGAAAATATATTAGTGATATTTTTCTGACATTTGGAGCAACATAATATATATATCTATAATTATTGTATTCAGTCCGTGACATTTGGAATATCAATGCTGTTATAAGCAATACACAATCACCAACTCACTGACCGACCGACCACATATTATGTAATTGTGTTGGATTTCGTATTACATTTGTATTTCAATTGTGTTGTAGTACACTATTTTGATAAAAATATACCTGTATTGTATCACAGCCAGAAAGGATTTAACGTTATTATAAAATCAGTTGAAGACATAACTCAACAAATATCGCATCAATAATTTATATTTAATATACTCAACTCACCGTTATCTGCTATACATGGATAACTATCATTTTTCAATTTCTCACCTAAAATACACCATAACAAACTAACCATAGTATAATTATGTGCAATATGTAAAGTTCAATTCGAAAAGCTTATGCAGAGCAATGTCCATGCTTAATAGCAGCAATAACATATCAGATTCATGTTGTTGTTGTACCACTGCTGTTAGAGTAACAACAACTTCACTCTCCCTTGAGACTAATGATCATATTCCGTAATGTGACACAGACAAATGTACAACAAACAGCAATATATTAAAAAAGCATCGAATAATAAACGTGTGTCCGTGTATTTATTGATCTACCATGTCAGGTTTAGTATGTTGAAACTCTCTGCCCCCATATTTTACCAAGTTGAAGGAGGGGGCTCCCAGAAATCTATTCGTTTTCTTCACATATCAATATCAATGCTGTTATGTTTACGTATATCTGAGTACGATTCGCCTTTGGAAAGTGCCCAAATAAGTGGCACGTTTGCAATGTACTCAAAATTTATGAATATCAACTGTAGCACACATAATTCATTATTACAACACTCACCATCATCTGCATCGATACAGCATTTACATCCGCATTTGTTTACTTTGTTGCATAAATTAAAGTTGTTATTCATTTGCAGCAAATGTTTGGTGATATCACATTGTTCTAAACAGTTCCCCTTTGTTTCTATGTTATTAAACAATGATTTGCATTCGGCTAAAAGTGGAAAATGAATAAAACTATTAGTCAGTTTTTACTGAAACAAAAAACATAGTTTGTAAGTCAATGACTACAGCTACATAATGTTAATGTGCAACCCACACCCAACGACCTTGATAGAGTTGCCTAAAGCGCAAGTCTCCCAAACAGTACAGAGTATGTGCGATTTTAATTAACAAGCATATATTGAGATGAAGATGGACTTGTTCTGAATTACACATTATATAATAAATAAATGTATATTTTGTTCATTGTGAATAACACTAACCAGTTTCATTGCATTCAGTTGGAGTCATCTGCCCTAAAAGCAAAAGTGAATAATTATATATAAGTTTTATTTTCACGAATGTACAATCTCGACTAGGCATAATTTTGAAAATTGATCAAGCAAAACACAATCATGTTCACTTACTTTGATACAAGCCATGGAAGAAACTGCCAAGTCTACTTCCCTAATACACAATGAAGACATAGTTTATGTAGTGCGAATAATAGTAACATAAAACTGTGATATGTTATTTTTCATTGAAAATCACTTAATACAAAATTATATGCAACTCCCGTTCCATGTTTTAACCTACTGACACTGTCAAGTGGTATATATGACCAGTCATTGTGACTGTAAATTAAAGAATTAATAATAAGTGCTACAAGTAAACGTGTAAGTCACTTTCAAGCATATTATTTGTAATTGTGCATTTTGTTTGCAAATAATATTGAGGCAAGAATTAACTGTTTATCAAAGTGAGCTACTTTCACATACGTCGAACAAAATTTTGAAAGCTATGACTGTAACATGTTTAGTATTCATACAGAATATTCGAAACCACTAGCCAGACCATGTGTTACATTTTGGTTCAAATGTTACTCAATATTTGTGTGTCTGCAGTTATTTTATAGAATCTATAAACACACCAAACAGCACGGCATGCACACTATCGCCCCAAGACAAGTCGCCTCACCTCTGCCTGCTAACGTGCTGTTCACATAACAATTATAACTATATGGCTGTGATGCGTACAAGAAATGACTCGTACATAAAAAAACGCAAAAAACAGCGGATTAGGGAGTACAGGCTTGTATACGCTTGCTACACTTAATAATATTCGATCAAATCAAAGAAAGCCGACTATATTGGAGGTGCATAAATCAGAAAAGAGTTTGGTTCACTCCAAAATTCCAAATTAGCCGTTAAAACAAGTAGCCGGATGACAAATATAGCTCTGCAAAGTGTGTTTGGTGATGTCATTGCAAAATCTTATACTTAGATAATTAACATAGATATATTTCAACTACACTTAATCATATCAGCGATTAGTACTATTGAAATGTGACGAAATTGAAATCTGCATACATGTAGTAAATATGATATATAAATTGTTACCATGACTTGTGTGATAATATTCATATATTCATTGTCAAAGGTACGGGACTCGTTCAATAAATATGATTTTACAAGGTGACTAGTTGGACATCTTTTTATTTATTTCAACCAAATGCCACATCGGTATCCAACATAATCACTCGTGTCGTGGCCACCCAACAACACCGCCTCACATTGACTAGTTGAAATCAAAATGACAGGCACATATACAAGCTGGTAGGCTGGGTGGCGATCGGCTACGCTAAAAAAAACAACAACATGTTTTCGGCTGTTGCCATAGTAGAACATGAATGTGAAGCTAACGTCGGTTCAAGACTGGTAATACACTTGGGGCGAAAGTATTCAAAAACAGTTTCTTGGTTGTTTCCATGGCAGTAGTGGGCCAAGACTATTTTTCCGATTAGTAACGTTATGACCTGCCGGCAAAGTATGAACACAATTTTGTCATGGCAACAGTGGACCAGTATTTTTTTCCAGATTTTGCCACCTAACTAGAGTGGTGGTGTGACCAGCTTGCCAAGTATGAACAAAATCGGCCCAGCCAAAACAATCATAGAAGAGTTAAAAGCCGCTCCGCTCGCAACTCTGCAAAAGCGCCTCTCAACTGTAAGCAGACGCGTTTTCCATTGCGCCACCTTGTAATGTCTCGAAAAAGACAGTTTTCAATAGCGTGTATGAATGCGCGTTTACAATGACCAGTTGGACATGCGCAAATCGAATCTCCAACATCACAAACGAAGTATATAATGTGATTACGCACACAAATAAGGCATAGTACGATCATTGTCAGAACGACCTACCCAGTTACTAAATTCTTTAGGTACAAATATGTCCAACATGCACACTGAGTATAATAAATTAAAATTACAGACACAAATACAAACATATAAACATGAAAAAACACTAGATTGGAATTTTAAACTCGGCAAATGCACCACGCAGCTGTAAGCAGATGCGATCCCCGTTGCGCCACATTATACTGTACGACATACCCAGTTACGAACTTCTTTGAAAACGAATATGTATAACATGCAGTGAAGAACACCTGAGTGTGAATAATGAAATTACAGGCACATATGCGAATATAGAAACATTTATGAAAATGAGAAAGGACATTATGAACAACATATGAACCATGCAAGTCATGATTCAGAATTAGCCCACCCAGTTAAGATCATTCCTAAACAATCATTAATATTTTACATTACAGCACTTCGTAGATTAATTACATAATACAACAGAAATGACTTACAGTGTCACTGGCGACTCCTTTCCCTCCAAGCTTGCTGTCAGTACACTAGTTAAACATACACTGAACAGAAACACTATAACTACAGTTGAAATAACTATTCCCATACTGACGTCGTGTAGGTGGATTCTTGACGATACCGCAGTGTATGCTATATGTGTGACAATTTTTTGCCACAGTATAGTGGGAGATTATATTGTTCAAACAATAAAAAAAAAACATCGGAAACAAAATCTTTCAATGAGCACGCGTTGCAGCACCTGACACACGGTGTTGTCAAACAATAATGCAGAAGAGTAAAACTGAGGATAAATGTGATCAATACATCTCGATTTCCTTAGAAAGAAATGTGTTCCGATGTATTCTCAGCATTCAAGTCAGTTTTTGCGGATTTCTCATAAAAGGAACATATAACATCTTTGCAAATATTTTGTACCATAGAAGATTATTAAATCAAGGTAAGTTATGAGGTGTGTTTCTTCGCAGTATCCGAATAAATGTGGCGCACACCAAAATCAATAATTTCTTAGCGATATAAAAAGTCAAGTGCTATATATGATCAGTCATTCTGGGATAAAGAAGATTTTGTATTAACATTATAAATAACCCACCTAACCGAAATAAAAAAAATAATAATCATGATATCAAGAAAACCGGTTTCAGATTGAGCCAAGTGCAAGTGATGTAAGTCACTGTCAAGTATATTTCGTGTCATTGTGCATTTTGTTTGCAAATATTATAGAGGCAAAAATGGACGGTTTATCAAAGTGAGCTAGTTTCGCATTTCGCCTCACATTGGCTCATTTAAATCAAAATGACAGGCACATATACAGACAATACAAACACAGAAAAAGAGAAACAAACTCGCAACTCTGCAAAAGCGCCTCACAACTGTAAGCAGACGCGCTATCCGTTACGACATATTGTACTGTACGACATACCCAGTTACGAACTTCTTTGAGAACGAATATGTATAACATGCAGTGAAGAACACAAGAGTCTGAGTAATGAAATTACAGGCACATATGCGAACATAGAAGCATAGCAAGTCATGATTCAGAATTAGCCCACCCAGTTAAGATCATTCCTAAACAATCATTGATATTTTACATTACAGCACTTCGTAGATTAATTACATAATACAACAGAAATGACTTACAGTGTCACTCACTGGCGACTCCTTTCCCTCCAAGCTTGCTGCCAGTACACTAGTTAAACATGCACTGAACAGAATCACTGTAACTACATTTGAAATAACTCTTCCCATACTGATGTCGTGTCGGTGGACTCTTGACGATACCAAACCTACAGTTTGTCTGAGATCGCTTCACGCAGTTTATGCTATATGTCTGACAATTATTTTGTCACAGTCTGGTGGGAGATTACATTGTGCGGACAATAAAAAAAACCTCGGAAATAAAATCTCGCAATGAGCACGCATTGCAACACCTGACACACGGTGTTGTAAAACAATAATGCAGAAGAGTAAAACTGAGAATAAATGTGATCAATATACCCCGATTCCTTAGTAACTATTTGTGGATTTCTCATAAAAAAACATTTAACATTTTATGCAAATATTCTGCACCAAATAAGATTATTAAATCAAGGTAGGGTAAGAGGTGCGCTTCTCTGAAATATCCGAATAATTGTGGCATGCAACTGGCAAGCACACCAGAATAATATTTTCTTAGCGATAAAAAAAAGAGAAAATTGCAATACCAATATTGTGTGTCTCGGCGACTCGGTGATCAAGTTAAACAAATACTTACATGAAAATGAGGTACACTACATACAATAATGTACTCTGGCATTTGTTACAAAACAATTATATATTTGAGATGGGTATAAACAGATCAGGATCAGTTTAACAACAGATAAATTTACTTTTTCCATGATTACGTTATGAATATTGCATCATCTACATTCTGAACATAGCAGTTTATCTGACGTATTTCATCACAATCTGGTGCCAGATTATAGTGTTCATACAATATGGAATTAAAATCAGGAAGTAAAGACGCGCAGCAAGATCCGGCATGTGTTGTTAGAATACATGTCATGTGGATATTTTTTTTTCCATTCTGCAAAATTTATATTTATCAGTCTGTGTGAATTTTTGTAGCCATGATGAGAGCCACGAAACTGATACATCCAGCGATAGAAATGATAAGAAATATGAAAAATTGAGTTGGTGATGTCGAAGTTGGTATATACTGTTCAACATGTGTCCCCCGTCATACATCAGTCTGTGTCACAATCAATTGGTAAGAAATCTGAGGCCCACGCACGACAAATAACATGGATGCCATCTGAGAACATCTAACCGTGATATTATAAACGCAAGCTTATTTATATTTTCTTATTCTTCAAATGATAAGATTCGTCGCTTTATATGAAACCTTTGTTTTATTAGTTTCAATAACAAAGACATTTACAATGACCTTGGAATTGCATACCCTATTTGTAGACGATGATATAGATTATTGTTGTAAAGATGTTAAAATTACGATAAAACAACAATGAAATAAAATCATGTTATGTTAATGGTACATGTTTGTATTTCCAAAATAACTAAGCTAATGTTATTCGTAATAATGATAAATTAACTGTGTTTATACACCCACCCACTGTTCTGAATTTTGAATATTCCCTAACAGTCATTTTGGTATAGTGATTTGGAATTCACGCTAGAGAAACTGTCGTCATGTTATTTGCAGTTTTGCCTCTGTGTGAATATTTGTCTTTTTTAGCGCAGTTAAATAAATCTCGTAAGTTATATTCCTTGTAATTCATCAGTACTGACATTGTGCATTCATTTGTGCAAATCAAGATTTTTTCGACGGCTTCTACTCTGTATGTCAGTGAGAGTTTCGTCTAGTTTGGCGTAATACGCCAATACAAAAAGAGACCAGTCTTTCAAAACCAATCATTCGGGTGAACCCGTGACCTCTTGGAAAATATCTACGTTAGCACATTATCTCTTCGACTCGATCCGCCAATTTCTGTTTGTTGTTTTTTTTTTCAACCCATAGCTATTAATATTTTTTTATTTTGCAATTTGCATACAAAATATTTACATTTTAAAAAACATGTAGCTCGCCTAAATGCATTGATACTTACAGCACATTCGATCAAATAAATTTGATTTAATTTAGGATTTTTGTGATGTCTTTTTTCGGCGCAGTGGGTGTGGTGTGGCGTGTCTGCCAGTTGTAGTGAGACCATTGCCGTGATCGTGAGGTCGACTCGTGTGTTCCATGTTGTGATATTTATCTGTTTGTTTGTAAAATTTACTCTTTGAGACCAGTAAATTCACGTAATAAGAATCGTAATTCGATACATTTATGTTTGATGTTTTACATGTATGGGATACTTTTAGTATTGTCACTTTGGTTTTATTGATACGATTTCAATAGCTTCGATGGCTTTATTTTTAACAGGGTGCGACCAGGCTCTGGTAATATGTTGGAAATGATTTGCTGTAAAGGTTAAAACTTATTCGCCCAATATTAGAGCTAAAATTTAAGACTATGAATTAGATTTATATTTAGGGTTATACAATATATAAAGCCACTTTAGAAGAAATATGTTTGTTTCAATAAGAAATTTAACATCGTAACTGAAAACAAAATTTTATTTCGTAGTATACGATATAGTTAAAAAACTAAATTTATGTTTTAGCGTTGTAACCAGTGTGGAGGTTTATTGTAAAAATTAACCTACCCACAATTAAATCTATAAGCGAACGTCACATGGGAATATTTACAACTCCCAGAACACAGAATAAACATTTGATATATGGGCATCATGGTGCTCATAAAAAGATTTCGAAGGTTTTTTGAAGAGTGCGGAGCACATCTTGCCCCACGTGTGACACTCGTCGTACCCCAGTCAAATGGTTTCTGTAAGAAGCGAGAGGTCCATATCCGAATATTGACAGTGATATCATCTGAGATCATCTCTGTAACAGTGTTATCATACTTAAGCGCAATCTCTTTATATCTCTCTGAAACCTTTTGTCAGGGCTATTAGCTCTCTACAAAATACTAAGTTCAGCGGCTTGACCGATCATCGTCTTGTTATAAAGTCTACAAATGTACTACTGGAACGGGTATAGCAAATCTGCTGGGAACTGTTTAGTCCATTGGCTGGAGATAACTTTGTGTGGTAGAGTCTTAGAATCCAATATGTAAATCAGCTATTTTGATATACTTATAAATACAATTCTTTTTAACAACTTCCTATACATCAGTTATTTGGGGGGGGGGCTTTGTTTCCATACTTTTAAAAAGAGTGTTAGAAGTGATGTTGAGATGGTAGTGATTTTTTAGGAAATTGCTCATAAATCGACAATGTTTATTTTATTATATGTAAAACCATGGACCTATAGTAAGAACACATTTTCTTTGAAATAAAGCACAAACGATATATGATTCTTGACATCCTTTGGGCCAACGTACAATTTTAAATATGACGTATCCCCATTATGGAACACAATTTGTAAACGCGTTCTAATAATAGCTGCCAGTTAATGAAATACAGCAAAATTGACAAATTAAATGAATGTACCATCTTGGACCTGCTAACCTTATTATTTAGATACTATTTAGTCAAATGATTGAATCAATATTTATTGTCAAAAATAATTTGGTAGCTTATTCTTGCTGCTGTAGCGGTGGTTTGCAATCCCATATTGTCTTGTCCACATTCTTTGTGTTTTCAGGTTGATTAACGTTTCTGGAGCAATTTAATTTCAGAGATTTCACAGTATGTAAATATCACCCAAGTATATTAACTCTATCAGTGCACATACAAAATCATGTACTGTGCAGAATTCCTTGTTTCACTCCCATACATGAAGACTTCACAACTCTGAAGGTTTGTTTCTAAGGAAGTGACGACATGTCGCTCAGTGATTAGTACTAGCCCACAAGCTGTTGTGACAACGTTGCTCACAGGTTGTTTTATTAAAAGGAACAACTTACGCCAATAGTTTATCTTCGGGTCAGCACGACCGATTCTTGCCAACCAGATACTCTACAGGTGCGACGGTCTGTAGTATAGACCCACCCATAGTATACATACAATGGCCTCGAGAAAGGGAGACCAAGATATACAGAATATAGATGTTGCTGCTCCGTGTGGAATACCAACAGCCGCATCCTAATATGCTTGTCCCACATCCCGATATAGGAATCCCGATATGTGTAAACAAACTCCATTCGAGTGGTAGTATTTCAGTCTTAGAGTGTGTATATTTGTCTCCATCCACTGGTGTGTGACACAACTCTATTTTGGCGCTTTATTTGTTGTGATTCATACAAGCTGTACCCATAACTAGCATTCTTAATCTGCGACGGTGTTAGCGACGTTATACCCGTTGACTATGCGGGCTATGGTTGCCAATATTTTATTCAACATCGAACAAAAAAAATCAAATTAAATGACTCGGTCTTCAGAGATTCGCTCGTCATGAGATGATTGTAATGTATCCACAAAAGAAACACAAGATCAGGGCAGTAACGGGTTTATTTGGAGTGTTGAGCTTACAATATGGCAAGCCATCACGAGTGGGCGTCTCAAATGACTGACTAACATAGGGTCAATGGCCTTCTCATAAGTACAATAAAGTATGAATATACTACACATTCCATTCGTTAAGTTTTTGAATACATACAAATGTGCATAAGAGTTCTGCAATTTGCCTTCAATAAAACTTCAAAAGTTCCCACAATATAAAAAAAACTAACTAGAGGGGAGAGGTTTCCAGCACAAATCATAACAATAACTGTAATAAACACTCTACAAATCTAAACGCGGTGGTGACTTTTTAATTCGAGTTGAACGTCGTAACTCAACATGTTTCGGTATACTAGGTACATTCCCTAAATCTGGTGATTTAGGAATTATTATGCTATCATCAGTGTAGGGGGGTACACCAATCTGTGTAGTGGTTGGAATAAACGGTATATCACTACTGACTATTTCACTATCACTATTTGAATCTAACATCAGCACTAAGATCTAACACTGACTTCCTGATGTGATTTATTTATACCGTCATATTGTATCTAGTAATTTAATTATGAAAGAAGATACTTCCTTTCCACTGACTATGCCATTTAATCAACGTGCACCAGATCTAAAATTATATGCAAATAAGGTATCTTCAATGGGGAATTTTCTCCCTTCCGAGTGTGTATCGTGCCATTATTTCTGGCTTGTCTGAACACGTCGCACTTTCGCTGATTCATCAGGTTGAAGTAGATCAAGGTTTCAACTTTCTTCTACACAGT